GATGCTTTCACCATACACACAACCTGAAACGGATTGGTCGGTATCAGTGGCCTATAGTGTGACCGCTTCTGTGGTCGATACAATTCTTTACTTTTGTTCTTGATTTTCCCGTACTTGAAAAGAAACCCATTGTACTAAGCTTTGAAATGAATGGATCTAAAAGATTCTTTACTTTGAAACACTGTTATCTTAGATTTCCTTGGGTCAGATGCGAGTAATGTCAAATTGATTGGCAAAGGAACTGATAGTAAAAACACTCGATTGCTTTCCCGGTTATGCGGTTCCAACTTCGACCAGACAAACTAACAGCGTTTACGTGCATTTTCCTTCACACTCGTCCGTCCATACCCTATTCGTTCACGTATCTGTCGTCCCATTGTCCAAGAGAGAGAGAGATTTTAGCCGTTCCTAGTGGTGTGCGCTAAATGGGCGACAACATTGCACATATAAAACATGGAACAGGGTTCACACGAAATAACGCGTCGTTTGGATACTAAACGCGATATACAGATAGCTCTATGAAAGAGCGGTGACCAATACAGAAGGAATTTGTAATTTCAAGATAAAACGGCCATACGAAATATCTCTTTGATTGGAAATATGTGTGTGTGAAGTTTACACCAAAACTTCTGCTACGCAAAGCACAAGAAGAAGACCAATAGACAAGCAGCATATCTTTGGTTGGTAGACTGTTAACACCCGTGGTAATGCGCTATGTATGTCACACTGGTTAGAGCCGAAAGGCTACTGGATTCGTCGTAAGAAGAATCACCAGTTTGGACTAGACATGAAATGTGGTTTTACAATCATGCAAGAACTTCTGTGCCCCGAAAAATCAACCGGGTCGCATCACTGATTCCCTCCCACTTGTGCTTGTTACTTCGTAATGACCTGCTGAGTAAACACATCGAACAGATCTTATTCCCCTTACTGTGTTCTCATGTTTGTCGGTTTACTGTAAGTACACAGTGACTCCAATTAGCCTTTCAATATCCCATTCCATTCAGAACTTGAACCACCCCCCTATGATAAAAAGATTTCCAGGTTTAATTGAGGTTTCGCGCTGTAATTGAGACCAAATTGCGATAAAAATTAGTAAAGCTAATCACATTGCTTATTGGCGGTTCGTGTTCATATGACTAGGAGTGAGGTGGTGGATTCGTGACGCGCACTGCTGATGATCCCCAAGAGGGATAAAACAGCTGCGCAGCGCTTCTTGACTTTTCAGCATCGATAAACTCCATGTAGAGGAGGAAATTCCCTTTATAACTCACAAATCTCTCACGACCAACAGATATTCAGCTATTGACTTGGATTTCTGTCTCCAGTACCCACTCAGTAGGAGAGAACTGAATACTTTCTGTTCACGAGCGTTTAAAATGTGTAAACCTCCATCATGAAAGGACAACTGATATGATCTAAGTACACAGTATGAGATTTTTGTTTGACCTAAATATGTTTTTTACTAACTCAATGAGAAAGCTAAGCGTCCATAGAGAAGTGTTTTTTACGAGATTCAGTCTTCCAAATTGAAGCGCTGAGAAAAGATCAGGAACAACCTGAAGAAGTGAGAACCTTGGATATGCTGGCAAGATCCAGTTCGTTGCAAGCGATTTTTCAAGTTTCCTCATAGCTGTAATTTCCTTTTTAAACGGCGATGTAACTCCTGTTGTAACATTGGCGTAAAAGTATGTCCTGTCCATCCTAACATAATTTTGGGTATCTCAAGGAAAACGCCAAGTACACAAGTCTCAAGTGAATTCGGCTAAAGCTTCATCAGTTTTCCCATTGCCATGTTTTCTGAAACTCCATGAGTAACCACTTGCTAGTTCACAGAAATGCAACTCTGAATGGATGTTCCAAAGCCCTTCAACGTTCATACTACGTGTGATCCAGATTCCATACGAAAAGACCAAATATTCGCGTAGACTACTCCGGGAGACATTTTACGCGTGGATTTTTCCAAGCAGTTTTAGAAAGAAAAATTGCTTAGTAGAAATGGACTGAATTTGAGCTGCTGCATCATTCTGATAAACCAGCCGGTTAGCTAACTGTTATCTTGTTTGCAAACCGCAGCTACTGAACTTAGCTTTCTTAGATTAATTCTTCCACGACTTAAAGAATGGGGAGAAGACAAGTGCGCATTCCTTAGTGACATGTAGACAAGTTTTGTGTCCACAAAATGATGATGACAGGGCTTGGACTGCCTGTTGCGACGAGCTATATATGTCTTTGAATCTGGCTGGAATAGGTACATTTGCACCACGTTCCTCGCATCTGACCTCATACATGGTCTTGGAAATATGCATGGCGATTTCAGCCAGTTTTCCCGGAAGGCCGCAGTGAGCGCATCCAACCATTTTGATCCAGTATGTGCAAAAGAGCTTTGCGTGATGGTTAATCTGCCAACCAACCTTTATTTACCAGTTCCAGTGTAAATATTATGTTCGCTTTACGATAAAGTTGCTGAGTTTGGCAATTTGTTTGCGAAAGCTTCCTCGTCAGTGGCATCATCAGTGTGCAGTTGATCTGCTTTGCATTGTGGTTTTCCGTGGTCCAGCGACCTGTACACACTGGACTACATACTGACGAACTGCTAAACTACGACACAGCACCAGTCTGCTGCACACGGATGATGACAGCTTGACTTGTAACGAAACGGTTACAACTAAATAGTGCTGCTCGGTGAACAGAACAACAGCCATCTACACACAGCGAACTACTAACATTCCTCTCAATAGCAAATATGAGCTGCTTTAATGTGACAGTTTTGACCAGATATCTCCCGTACTAGTGATGAACACCTTCGGCTCACTGAATTATGACCAAATTTCCTCAGAAAATACTGCAGGGTTAAAGTCACCTTGCTGTTCCGGTACAGTTCTTTTTGCACAAATTAACATCGATTTTCTGAATCCCCGGTTGAAAGTGTACTTATGCTAGCCTTTACCCTCTACCTTTCTCAAACATGAATGATCACTTACTGAAACATATCACATACCTTCCAACTTCATAGATTCTCACGTTGAGACAATCTACACTGTGGTCATATATTCTTGGCCATGGAAATCCCTTATTTAACGCCACAAGCCGCACAAGTTAGGGAACACGAGTTTGCAAACTTGCCACTGCAACACTTCCGCTAGAGCTTATTACTACTGCATCTCAGATGGCTTCAGAAAGCAACCGGAGTTCTGCCATGGAGATGAACATGGATGAACTTGATGGCCAATTTATAGTAAGGATCAAGCGGGCTTAATTTACCGCTTGTCATTGCAGTAGAAATCGACTGATTTAAACTAGCATATCAGAAACAGGTCCGAGTTTTACATATGACCCAATTCCCAGAACGCAGGAAACTAGTAGAAAAGGCGGCCTCAGATCACGCTAAAGCAGACCCATCTTTCTGAGGGGAATGGCATTACGTAACGAATCGTGGTTGGTGTCGAATCCCTCTGTGGTCCCTTTGAGGGGACGGCCTCTTTTCGGATGATCCTCTTCCGGGTGATTTCGCTCATTGTAGATGCGCACAACCAGACCAAGGTAGAATCCTGCGCATATTCTTGAGGGAGACCAATTTGAGAGAACGGCCAGACAACTCATTGCTAAATGAGCTTAAAAACACCCGATAAGTGAAACAGAGACTTGAAGAGCTGTAAAACCCCGGGCCACATCAGATCACCAAAGGTTTGGTAAGGTATGCAGAAGATGGGTTTCAACAAAGTGACCTGTGGAAAGGTGGGTCAGAAATCTAGTCACGTAAATCGTTTGGGTTGGAGAAACTGCGGAAAATTTCACCTCATCTCAATTACCACATAAACCATGAAAAAATGCATGCAATTGCGTGTGGTATCAATACTAGACTTCCATTCGCAACTAAACGAGACATCTCAGCAATACACAGCACTCGGGTTGGGTGACTTGCACGATGTAGTTATCAAGGATGACGAAGAAGCTCTGGCAATAGAAAACTGATGCAGACTATATGAAATGCAGCCAAGTTGTCGATGGAATGGGGTAACTTGGCTGTGATACTGATTTCAAATAAGGTGAAAACGGGCAAAAACTATCGGTCTGGTGGTCGTATGCTCCAGCGTCCCCATGGTTTCCTCTCGCAAGGCGTTACTGACTCGGGTAATTCCCAATGTGATAGAAATCAGGCCATATTTTGATCTGGGTGAGGGTTCATGGTCATATTTTCGCTTGAAGGCAGGTGGTTGAGCAGCTCTATTACTCCCAACGAAAGAGAACGTTCACTTTTTGGTGCGAAGTCAACTTTCAGCACTGTCGATAATCAATGTATGATGGTGATTCTCAACTAGAAGTGCCTCAGCTGAACAAATGTCTTCTAAAGCGTGCTGTAAGTATGTAACTGTGGAAATTTATGAGCGAATTATGAACCGCTGCTTAAGTTGGCCATATCTCGCCATGCCACATAAGGGTTTCGTTACTCCTCGACCACTTTCATCTCGTCATTGATGTAGTATTGATCAGTAAAGCTTCTACCTTGAATGTTTGCTGAGGTGGTTGGATGATACTTGTCGTACCTGATCGCAAGCTTTGGAACTAAAAACAATTTTGAGCAGACTAATACATTCTATCCAGCTATTACACACGCCTCACACGTGAAAAGTGTGTGATACAACTGATAAACTGATAGGTAGTATCAAGGTAACTTTTGGATTTATAACCGGGACAATTCACTTGCAAATGCTCTAATGGCAATTACGTGTCCATTACACACTGCTCACAACTTTCGTTGAAAACGATGACTTTCATTGGTAATACAGGTTAGTCCAGTTTTTGGACTTCCAGGTGGGTAGCCACCAAAGAAGTATTTGAGTCTATGACATCTGCAGATGAGCTAATCTATGCAAGAAAATCACCTGCCTGGGCAGGATAGCCGTATTACTCCCTACCAGATCTTATCTCAGCAGATTAAGCAGAAGAAACTTTCCAGACAATGGAAACTAGAGTGGAAGTTGGAAAAAGCGACTTACATATTGTGGATTTTTCAGGTGGTCCAAAAGTTTCCGAAAATGTAATGGCAACCACTCCCTCTAGTTCCAACAAACTGAAGAGTGAGAGTAGTCTGTTAATGCCTAAGGGAAAGGTCAAAAGTACATGTGAAGTTCTATATGATGTGAAAATATCAGCGAGCTCCTTGAAATAACTAGTCTCTGTAACCCGACCTAGTACGTGGGGGGAAGTGACGGGGATCCCGCTTAGACAGACCCAAGAATTTTAGACCCTGTTTTTACAAACGACCAAAACGATGGGTGGCTGCGCCTTCGCTAAACATCTATCATCTGGAAAGAATTATTTCTGGACCACTGACCACAAAGTTTACGCATTCTATCAATGCAAGTCAGCTACCAGTGGAAGGTTTTGTATGTGGCGGAAATATTCGGAGAAGGGGAAAAGCCGTATCCAAGATACTGCCGATCGGTTGGCTCCACATTTTCCCGGTGCAAAGTGATGAAAGATCAGTAAAGGATAAAAGTTAGTGCCACTGTCAGAAAGATTAAACTTGTGTCACAGAACAACACGGATACCTGAAGGAAGGTGTTGTGTTTCACATGCGCTGTTAGCTAAGGAAAAGTTAGCTGGAGTGGCTGGCACGGATGGCAATGTCTATGTCGGATGTGTTAACTTTGATAAGGTTTGTTTGCTTGATATCCCATCAGCTGTTTTTGTTAAAACTGTTGTTCTGGTGAATAGACTGAAAAGTTAAGACCTTGATTCAAGAGTTCATCTGCTAATGCACAGTGAGGCCATGGTGCTTACTCAGAGTTTGTTATAAGCAGAAATGACGTTCCACAATGCTCGGGTTTATGTTCGAGCTCCATCTTCTCAGCTTCATATGGGCCGATGTCCTAAATTTCTGGAAGTTTGACTACAACCATGATGTAATTTGTGGTGCTGCTTCACAATAGTCGCCCGTATTCACCTGAAATTTATTGCACTAAAAGCGATCTAGTGAACAAAACATACCTGGGGCGGGATTTAGGGGTCATTGAGACGACTGGTCTCAATTATGTGGAAAAGTTGTGAAGAAAGGCAACTGCTATGACCGAAACCGTGTGGGCCAGCAGAAAATCTTCCAATGAACTAAGTCCGGGATTGCTTTGTGCCCCATTCCTTTTACGCTGTAGACTGATCGATCGATCGATCGATCGATTGATTGATTGATTGGTTGATTGATTGGTTGGTTGGTTGATTGATTGATTGACTGACTCACTAACTGGCTGGCTGACGCAGTACACTATAAAAAATGGAAAAATTGGAGTACAAACAAAAGCATTGTTCTGGTCGATGACTTCTTGTTGGATAATCTGCGATGGTAAAGTTTTTAGAGAGTGCAGTGACAACCACACACATCGAAGGAGATAAACGAAAAAAATGAGTCTTGCACCGCCAAAGAAAATTGTCGAACGCGAGTCGTTACGTCACCAAACCACTGATACATAATCCGCTGATCTCTGTGTGCTACCCGCTTAGTCACCGAGAAGGCTTGGTACAATACAGGTCAGTGGCCTGAACCGTAAGACAAGAAGGAGTTTCAGACGAGACTAGTCCGAGGGAGAAGACGAGGAACAACAAACACAATGTGAAGTTGACAGTCAGTAAGAAAACAGATGACACACGATCAGTTATACAGAATCAGGCGACGCCATAAGGCACCAGTTGTCTAGTGCTGTGCAGTCCATCCGAAAGCGATCGATGAGGTTTGGTCAGCGTTACGACCGATGTAGTACGAATAATTAAGGTCACGCCAACATACCACCAAAATCCGAAGCTTTCGCTCGGAAGTTTGTCATCCAAACCGCACACTCCAAAGTCGCACTAATGCGCAGAGTTAAGCACTCACATGTGTGATTGCATACAGAGACATCTCTTTCCCGGTCTGTAGAGAGCTCAATCACCCTATCGGGTTCCCACGACAATGCACCGATGAAATTGAGTCAGGCAACTTCAGATGAACTGCTTTGCGGCCCGTTTTATAAATAACGCTACAGATAGATCACGTGAGCCAGCAAAAGTGGCATACTCACCTCGCAACGTGTGTGGACGGACAAACACGATTGTCGAAACCAAGCGAACAATCGATAGAGTTCGACTACTGAACGACACGCAATCAAGCCCACTCCAAGACTATTTTGCTAGTATAGGGAGCCTGCGGATGTACGAACTAACGTTATCATCAGTTTAATTGTCAAGCATGGGTTCCAAATTTCTACCGGTATCCCCTAACTCGATCTGCTTATTCCAATGATGTTTGCTTGTCTATTTCGTCATCGAGCTGGTCTCATGTTGCATGCTCAAACTCATTTTTGGATCACATGGACTATGCTTACCAACTAGATTCGGTTTCCATACCGACCACAGTCGCTTGAGGCGATGCTTATTTGATCGCTGGATTTGGGTTCCACAAGTGTTGGATTTTTCACAGTCAATGGGAGATGATCTGCTTTTACTAAGTCTACATTTTTTGCCCATGGGCTCATCTGTACCAGTAATTTCGTGCTGGATTGGTCTGTACTGCACTTCATTCAGTGGCTACACACAGTAGTATATGGCGAACATTACACTCAATATATTTTCCAGGAAACCTCTGAGTTATTTCCCGAGTATGTTGTATTTTGGTTATTTATCTACCCTAGAATTGCAGTAGACAAGCTTGTATGTCTCATGCTGTTCTGGAAGATCACGGTTTCGTGGTAAGTTTCCCCCTGTGCCTTAGGTACACTCAATAGTCTGCTGTCTCATGTCTGTTCGTGCTGTCCGGCGAGGACTATCGATTGCTTGGTCGGTAGATCTCTGTCGGTTTCCACACGCTGTCCTTGCACACGCTGCAAGGTCAGTGTACAACTTATGCCGGCTCACGTAGTCTGTCTGTGACCTTATTTATAAAACGGGCTGAAACGCAGTTCATTTAGGATCGCTTGACCCAGTTTCACCAGTGCATTGTCGTGTCCACTCGACAGGAGGATTGAGCTCACTGTTAGAACTTATCTGTCACGTGTCCACAGACCGGGAGAGAGAGATGCCTCTGTATGTAATCATACATGCGCTAAATGTGAGTGCTTACCTGTGCGTATTAGCACGACTTTGGAGTGTGCAGATTGGGTGACGAACGAAATGCTCGGGTTTTGACAATACGGTTGAGTAGACGCATAGACCACACAGTAAGGTGTTTCGCTCAATCGGAAAGTAACCAGCGTCTGGCGGAGTGGATAGTTCGCCTGTTGTGTCCGTCACCGCCTGGCAGTCGCTTGTTGCCTTCAGTTCAGTTGACAGTAGCCGGATGAGTGGTATAATTATTCCTAAACACAGTTCGACCACTAGACAAGTATGGGTTGGTGCTTCCTCTCGTTGGTCCTCCTCAGTTGCTCGCTGCCGAAACGTTTACATGATTCAGCCAGTTACAGAGTGAATCACTTTCATACGTATGGAGACCCTTCTGTATTTCGCAAATATGGATGAATGCATTGAGGTACTCATGGATAAGCACAGTGAACTTTTGGTATCCTTGAATATTTTGAACGAAAGTTCTGCTGGTGATCCATTAGCTGACATTGGGTCATGTCACGGGCAAACGAAATGCCACCCAGCTTATAGTAGAGGTAGTAGTAGTCGTTCAGCTGTAGCACCCTATTGGTGGCTAACTGCCACGCCACACGGAAGGGGCGCAAGGGCTGGGATACTGCCAGGTCGCCAAGCCCAGGGTAGTAGTAGTCGTTCAGCTGTAGCACCCTATTGGTGGCTAACTGCCACGCCACACGGAAGGGGCGCAAGGGCTGGGATACTGCCAGGTCGCCCAAGCCCAGACGGGAGAAGTCGAGAGGCAGAGGTCGGTTTCGAACTACGGACCTTCCAGTCACTAAATTCGTACCCTAACCACTTGGTCCATCCCTCCCCCAGCTTAGTCTCCGAATCTCCGGTACACTGTGTTGATACTTTTTTTCACTGTCTGCACGGCTCGCAGTTCAAGTCCGTTCGACATGGGTCACGAACAGCTGATCTCGGGCGCTTTGTTCGCAAATTTTATGGAGAAGGTGTAAGATAATTCCACTGGTAAACTTTTTACCAGCGTGGGTCTCCAGTGCACCAGACATGATGAACACTTGTTGTATTTTGCCTGTAGTAGGATGAGAAAACTCGATTTTACTTTGAATGACCATCAGCTATCAGCAGTCGAAATATTCCATTTAGCGTCCCAAACTAGTTTCCATGAGTGCTTTGCAACAGTCATTCAAACCCGTGTCACGATGGAGTACACCCAAGGGGCGGATTGTGTCGGCAGTATTTTTGGAACGCTTCACGAATGCTATCCTCGAAAGTACCTCAGTGTTCAAACACCGGTGCCTTGCTCAGTATTGTTAGTCGTGCGGATCATTGTTGTACATGGGCTGAAATACTGCCAGGGTGCCCACAGCTAGACAGGAGGACGATTAGTGTCAGCAACCAAAACATTTGGCTCAAAAGCCTGACCGCAAGTTAGCGGTGTTTTTGGCGGGAAATGCAAATGCACCCACTTTTTTTAAAGAACGATTCCCCACACATGTTCCATCCGCCAACCTGGAAGATCAAGAGAATGTTTTGATCAGAAATCTAACCCGTGACCAACCTGGTGTGAGAGGCTGTGTGAGGGTCGAACGGACAACTTACTGGGTCACGGAGGCACATAGACCATCACACTGCGGTAAGGTACAGTCTGTTCATGACGGAATGCTTCACACAATTCCCATGGTTGCTGATTTTGCTCATAGAAGTCACGTTCTATTAAGTCCGAAAGTATTTGATTGTCGTACTTCTCTTCAGACTGCTCTTCCTCTTTTTGAGTGATAAGCCAAACTTCATTATCATTGCATCATCATCATCACACGGTTATCCATTGATATATCTTATATCCGTGAACTGACTGTGGTTTATTAAAACCACGGTGGCGTGTTTCCATCCTGATGTCTTCGTTGTTCAATATATTTAATCGAAATTATGAGTGCAAATTTGACACACATTGGTGCGTTTAACGAAGGCTTCTCACAGTTGGATATATGCAGGACATTAACT